CGACAGGAGTGCATCCTTGCAATGCACAGCACGAGCCACACTCAGCACCACCTGGAGCACCAGCTTCACACATGCAGGGCATATACTGCCACAAAATCACAGCTGGGGGGAGTCGGCAGAGCCCTGTCAGAATGTGGCTGTGGGCCCACACCTGAGCTAGAACAAATCTGCAGCATCTACCAATGACCAACAGGACTGCCTGGGTCTGCCATTAATGGTCAGGGGTCTGCTGGGTAATTAATAAGTATTATTAATTACAGGGGTCTGATGGGGTTATAGAGGAAGCAGGTTAGGTAACTAGATTGGTAGACACCCAACGAAGAAAAGAAGAAAACTGATGACTTTGATTGATGTGTCCACAGTCATTTTGCCTTTTGAGCACTCTGGCCATATTTGTTATTTCAGTGAAAGATTGGATACCATGATGAAAAACATGATGAGAGATCATCAGCAGGTAGGTAACTCAACCAGGAATGCAAAACATCTTGTTCTGACAGCTCAGTCATGGGACAGATGAGTCATAATGTTTTAGTTCCATTTATCTCATTCAGTATGCTGCTCTTTATTAGTCAATGAAATAGAAACGATAACATAACTGCATTTTTGTGATTCATTTTCCTCTTTTAAAAGCTGGCAGAGTATCAGGGAATGTTTCCTATGCACATATTGGACGTTCGTCCCACAACAGCTGGGCCTTTCTGTCCCCCACATCTATTTGGGATCTTGTTAAGAAGCCTTTATCACCTCCCAGAGTTGAATAGGATAGGAGAATCTGTACCAGCCAGAAGCTTTATAGGAAACAACTGTAACCAAAACCAGTGTATCACAAAACTACAGCACTCCCTAGCACATCTCTCTGTAGCCTCTTGGATGCTGTTGACCTTTCCTGTCAGGTTCTGAAGTTTTTCCTTACATCTCAGCCCCTCTAGCCTCAGACCTGCGTCACAGCCGCTCATCTGACATTATATATTTGTCCAGGCCCCCAGGACAAAGAACAGGAGGGACAATTCAGAGCTCAAAATAAATACCCCAGGAAAGTTACCAGTTCCTGTTATTAAGCTTGTTTCCTTGTTCTATAAGGCACATGCTGCCCTAATGATTTTCAAAGAGTTTGAATTGGATGACAACGGGAGCAGACAGTGAAATAGCTTCTGTTTCAAAAGCTGATGTTTCAAGAAAAAAAAAGGGAATGGGAAAAGTCTGCCTGAGCAGTGCAATAACATAAAGGATTTCCCTCACTCTTTAAAGGAGATCTCTCTTTTCTGCATCATCCATGTGCCATCTAGACACTTCTGTCCTCACTGCCAAGAGACTGCCCTGAACGGTGACACTGCCCTTCGGTTGCTCCACCTCAATTAGCTGGTCAAGGAAACTCTTCCCATTAAGAAGGAACATGACTCAGACAGAGGCAAAGAAAGCCAGGGTGGGATACAACACATCTCTGTGCAGCTCTATTTGTCCATTTGCAAGGCCCTTCCATTACCAGAGGAACTTCTTGGAGACATTTGTGGTAACAGAAGCCAGTCCGCCCCTCAGCACTGCACAGCTTCCTCCATGCCACCCCAGAGGCAGCAGGCAGCTGCCTACACATCTGTGGCACAGCAGTATGAGGGATGGGCGAGCAGAGCTGAGGAGACTCGGGCAGGATTGGCCCCTGCTACTGCCTGTGGGATAGCCTGCACTAGGCACAGCCGGTGGGGAATCTGCCTTGACATGCTGGGGCCATCGCTGCTCCCGTCCCCAGCCTGAAAATGCCCCATCTCATTCCAGCCCATGGACAGCCCTTTGCTGCACCAGCACTTGGGAAAACCCTGCCTGCCCCGTGCTTCAACTCCAGTGTCTGCAGGCCTCTTTTCGGACACAAATACACGAGCATCGCACAGGCAATGTAGCTAGGCAGTGGAATTTGTCTCTGATCTCGGTCCCCAAGTCAGCCCTGTGTCCATCTCCTCTCTTGAATCTGTGTGTCTCCAGAAGGAAAATTCAAGCTTCAGCAGTGGGTAGTAGATGAGTGAAAGGAGAGATGGGGATAAGGAGGTTCTCTAAGGGCATGGTGGCTGTGCAGGGGGTGGTAGGGCCAAGGGTTTTGGCAAAAGCCCAGGGCAAGGGAAAAAAATCCCAATTCAGGTGAAATCTACTGTGAGACAGGGAATGAGAAAAACTTCATTTTCTTCTCTCTGGCACAAGGTTGTCCTGCGTCTTTAGCCTCCGAAAGATACAATATGAGCCAGGACAGCTTTATCTTGACTTCAAGCAACAGACTGTGTCTATACTGGGATTTTGTAGTGATGCCTAAAGGAGAAGGAACAGGGTGAGTTGTGAAATGGGCTCAAGTCCAAATCCCAAAACAACAGTCAAAGTTGCTTTATTGGGCTTGCATCATATTTTGGCAGATGGTTTGAAGCAGGATAGCTCCACTTACTACAGCACAAGTTGTTCATAGGGCTGCAGCAGGACTATCCCTGGCTGTCTGTTATTGCTGTTCTGCTGCCAGTTACCACCCTTGCAGTTCTGTTATTGGGAAGGACAACATGAACGGTCTCTCTGTAGATTTTTTTTAATGTTTAATTCTAATCCAGTTCTGCAAGAGGCAGTGAAAGAGCTTGGAGAGCAGCTCTGCAAAGGAACAGATGGATTTTGGCCAAAAATAAGCAGGCACACAAGCAAACCAAAATGGAAAGGTGCAACGTGATATGAAACAAGGCATCACAAACTTGGGAAATTCCATTTTCCCAGAAATACCTTTCCTGACTGACTTCAGCCAAGCTTGACAGCTGGCCAGAAATCAGCAATTCTGTTTCCTGAAAAGCATCACCCTGATGAGATGTTTTTATTATGACTCACAACACAAACAGGGTCCCTCCTTCCTTTCCCTCCCAGTCTCACTGGCTTCTCACCCACACACTGTGTTGTCCTCTGAAACAGCTGATAGCCTGTGGCATGCAGCTGGGATGCCACAGAGCCAGGTTTAAAAAGGGGTGTGAACCTGAGTCTCACCTAGGAGTGGCTACCCAATTAATCTCTTTTCAGTCTAGAGAACCCTTCCCAAAGAAAAAAAAAAAAAATGAAAACGAAAACTTTTCACAGAAACCTTTTGGTTCTGTCCAAGCAACCTTTCCCTATGGAAGCCAAAGAATCCTGGCCAGCTCAGCCCTCATTCCTGCATGCACTGCTGTGTCTCCAAGATAAAAACCAACTCAAAGGGCTGCAGAAACAGATTGTCCTTAACTGAGGAGAACAAAAGCTAGGACTAAGCACACACAGGGGATTTACATCCTGAGAGCTTCATCTTCAGAAGGCAGAGGCTTTTCTTAAGCACTGTATTGGACTCTGCTGCTGTAGCCAGTACAGCTCCTACCTTTTCTTCTCCTGCTGTCCCCCATCCCTACTGTCTGTCGCTGCTACTGGGGCAGGAGGGCACAGTTCCCTGAGGTGAGTCTCTGAGTTTTAAATAAGGGGTGAGCGCTGCCAAGGCCAAAGGGACTGCTGAGCTGGTTAGTGTCCATGGCACACTGAAAATAGTATGGATATTCAGCATGATAGTGTAGGAAAGTCCTCCTGTCCTCAACAGTGAATGGCCATGAACTAAACCTCACTGTGCCACAGCCACAGCACCTCTGCTTTGTTGGTGCTAACGGATACTCTTGTCTCCTGCAGTCTGGGATCCTGTCCTCCTTACCATCAGGCAAGGGCTGTGACAGGTGTATTGAGCTTTCTTCTAAGACACAACATGTTTTGACACAAATAAAGAGCATCTGCAAACATTGAAACACCTGGAAGTTGAAGATTAAAAAACTATTGTTACTTTAGCTCCTGTGAGCATGCAAAGAAGCCTGATGCAATCTGACTGTGATTTGGGAGGCAGAGTTGGAAAGCAGATGAAGCTGCCAGGTTGATACCATCCCCTGGTTTGCTTGGAGAGATTGCCACCATGCCAGAGAGACTGTCACAGCAGCATGGTTGGTGGAAAGTTCTCACCACTGATGCCCTTGACAGTGCCCTCAGTGGTGCCAATACCGTGCATGCTGAGAGTACCTAACTATCCCCACAATATAAACGGACAATAATGAAGGAGAATCATAAAACAGAACAAAAGAATTCTCCCTCTCTGTAAGGAAAAAAACAACCAAACAAACATTAATCAAAAGAAAATAGAGCAGAAGGGGGCAAAGCAGAAGTCAGGTCTACACTGGTATGGTGCCTGCATCGTTGTAGCTGATGGCAGCTACCATTGCAGTCATATTGGTGCAAGCAATGGGTGCATCAAAATCAACTCTATCAGCAGCTATGTTCGTCTTCAAATGAAGTTTGCTTTGCTTACTGGCCAGAGACTGCTGCACATCACACAGAAGCAAGGAAACAGAGCAAGGAGATACAGAGTCATGAAGGAAAAAAATACAGGGAGATGAGAATTTAAAATGGCAGGCTATCTGGAGAACAAAATGAACAGGAAAAAATGTATGAGAGAAATAAAAGCAAATAAGAAAGAGAACAAGAATAAGTAGAAAAATCTGAGATGGGACAGGCACAGGAGGCTCTCCTGGAATGCCACGCTTCCATCCTTTCTGTGCGAGGGGAAGAAAATGCTGGATACCCCGTGCTACAAGGCTCACTCATCCCATGCGCAGAGAAGACAGATCACAAGAGCATGACGGATGGTGGAGGAGAAGGAAATCCTTCTCCTAGCTCAGCTGAAGCCTTTATTCTTTATCAGCCTGGCTTCTGGCATACGTCTCAGCCCTGCCAGGAACTCTGTTAGCAACAACATCATCCTAAAGCAGGGGAAGTTTGGCCTCATTTCATATAGCCTGCTTGATTCCCAGACTAATGAGCCCTCCAGGAGCTCAGGCCACGCTCCCTCATGGTTTACAGCCTACAGATTAAGATCTTCAAAAGACATTTTAGCTGAAGGGCTTATTTGCACAGGAAGTTTCCCCCAGTTGTGGCCTTTATTGTACAGGTATCTGTCTAGTGGAAACTCTAGTGCATGAGTCACTTACCTGCAGCACGGGTAGCAAAAACAGCACCCACAGAGAATTTGAATGGCCTGCAGCAAAGCGAGGAGCTGGTAACTCTGTCATGCTGAAAGAAACACAAGTAAAGAGTAATGAGTCTCAGCTGCCACTGAGAACAGAACAGCTGAGTCAACACCTCTGCAAGATTTCTAGTGGCACGTTCAGCCTTTCCTTTGCAAAAAGACAGTTACAGTCTGGCATGTCACCCTAGAAAGGATGCTAGTCCCTCCCTGTGCAAACAAGCAAAGATGTGCATTTTGCACCAACTAAGCTAGGCCCAGCTTCCAGCGCCAGTTAAGTTGATGCCAATGCAAATATCAGTTTATAGAGGTTGTGTCTGGCACTTGCTGCCAGCAACAGAAACCATGTCCAAAACACACGTGCAGGTGAGTGCTGTGAGCCTGGAGAAGAGAAATCAAGCTGGGGAAGAGCAGAAAGGCACAAGAACCATTGTGCAGGGGGGGAAGCTATGTTTTCAAGCTTTTTATTTTGGATGCAAAATAAGTAAGTAGAATTTCCTGGATTTATGTGCTGTCACGGCTGATATCATGGCATATCTTGCTCAGGTTCACAACACTCTCCAGATGTCTTGTGAAGGTACCTGAAATTGTCCTCTCAGGAATGGTCTTCAGGAGCCAATCCTGTTATGAAAGAATACACAAAACAAGAGGAGAATAAAGGAAGAAAGCTCACGCCACTAAATTCCCCAAGATTTTCCTCACATGATAGCAGTGGAGAATGCCATGAGAGAAAATGCACAGCATTCCCCATTCCCAGGAGAGGGATTTCTTCATCTGGATGATGTTTCCCCATTTGTCCTGTCCCTCAGCAGCAACTCAGCTCTTGTTTTGAGGCCTGGAAAGAGTTGTGTGTGGGAAGAGAGGCCCAAGTTTGTAAAAGACCTCTGCAGTTCAAGCCTGTCTCACCCTATGTATGGAGCAGCCGTTACGGAGGTCTGTGTTCATGGAGCAGCCGTTACGGAGGTCTGTGTTCATGGTGCCTTGCTGTGGTGTTCATTGCAAGACGGTGGCCAAGAAGAATTTCTCAGTCGCTGAAGCAGGGAGTAGTTTTCCTTCAGGAAGCTGCCAGCTTGGGATCTCCTGGAGACTGTCATTGAAAGGTGGGAAGGAGGGAGGCAGGACAAACACTCCCAGCATAACTCAGCCCTGTGTCCAAAAGGTGCTGGGGCACCCAGGGCAAGCCCACTGTCACTCTGAGCTCTCTGTATCCACTCTCACTTGGCACCACCTTGCCCTGCAGTAGTTAGAGGGGTAACCTACTGTCATGGTTTAACCCCAGCTGGCAACTGAGCACCACACAGCTGCTCGCTCACTCCCTCCTGGTGGGATGGGGGAGAGAATCAGAAGGGTAAAAGTGAGAAAACTCATGGGTTGAGATAAAGACAGTATAATAGAGAAAGCAAAA